TTTACTGGTCTGACGAAATCATCGTCTGTTGAGACCAGTAGTGACTCATCACCAACCGTCAGATTCTAGTGAACTGACAGCAACAACCAGCAGTCTGATTCTAGTGGTCTGACAGCAACAACCAGAGGTCTGATTCTGCTGGTCTGACAGCAACAACCAGAGGTCTGATTCTAGTGATCTGACAGCAACAACCAGCAGTCTGATTCTTGAGATCTAATAACAACCAGAGGTCTGATTCTAGGGATCTGATTACAAATGGCAGTCCAAATTTCATCTTCATTGTTATTGTCATCATCATCGTCATCCATCATTTTTGCTTCGACCTGGGAATGTGCTCCACTTATCTACCATACACCTCAGAGAAAGCTTAACTAAGGCGTCGAATGTTGTAAGCGTTTTCGCAAGCGATCTGTTCCCATCCACACATTTCACAATCTGTTATTTATGAGATCACCCCCTACTGTCCACTTGTAATGCCACGTTCCTAGTCATTGCCGAAGTGTGTTCTTTACCACTGTGACAGATACAAACGTATTGACCATCTAGGACAAGCATCAAAGAGCATCTACTTTATGCCGAAATGTCATCCAATTAACGTCAAGTCATCTGTAATGCTTACATCAGCAATGTTTGATTCTACCAGTACTTACATAAAAGAGAAGTTATAATTCTCACTACAATGGTTTTCAACGGCGTCGACAATGAAATTTAACTTCCTTTGATACCGATAGTTAAAAAATAATTTCTGATATTTTTTCAATAAGATAAAAAATATGATGTGCCTTTTTTGATGCTGTCCCATGTCCGTTGCTGACACGATTCCTTGGCTGTGTACAATATTCCCTTGCTTATACGTTCAATCACATCATTTTCAAACCATGTGGCAGGAGGACTTTAAACTGTCCGAATACACAGGTCCTTTGTTATGAACGTTGGTTCTTTAAAACAGACTGAGAGAAAACCTAATCGTTTTTGTCCTAACCTAATTTATTCATTTCAAACCACAACTGTTACATTAAACGCGCCTAATTTGACTACAACGTCACATTAAAAAAATTTCAAAAGAGACATTATATACAAGCATATTCTGGCTTTTCTATTTGTACTATTGGTACATTAGCTGTTCATATGCTGGATCTAAACTGAAACAAGCACATATTTACATAGTTTCCTTTCTAAAACGTTCCTACGGTTAGGTCAGTTTCCTTTATTATTTCTACTTTGATTTTGTACACGTAGTGTAAACTGCAAGAATCAAATTCTTTTTACTTTTCTTTTCATCGTTTCAATTTTATATTTCTACTCTAGTCTTCTTTCGAAATAGTTTCTTCCTCCGCTACATGATATAATGAAAATAACCAAATCCTTTCTATTGTCATTTATAACATCTGCTTAAAGAGGATCCTTATATACGGTCAGACTATATCATATAAACATGTGGCCAGCGAATGTATCGTCAAATCCCTGTCACCAGAATTAACCATAATCTTATTTGAATCATATAATAATCTTTATATCATCAATGTTTCTGGTATTACTATTTTTATAATGATTCATAAACACCTGAATTTTCCATACTCCTATATTTGAATCAATAATATTCTTTTTATCACTATTTCTTATGGTATAATTACTATCTCACAATGAATCATTAACACCTGTCCGTGATGTATTCGGAACTGTACAATCGACCCTGCCTACTGCACATTTTTTCATATAAATTGGAAAGAATGCTTATATTACCAGAAGCATTTAAGATGGGTTGAATTTATACAATGTGGGTTCTTAAAAACTCAAGAATTGTAATAGTTATTCATAAACAAAATTATTAAACAGTCGTAACTGTACAATTGACTCTGCTTTTAGTGGAGGATTATTATTATTATTATTATTATTATTATTATTATTTTATCATAGAATCCTTTTGTCACTTCCGTTGATGAATCACTATCAAATAGTGATAAAACTAGGTTTTCGCGACAGGTGACGTAGTTTGCTCCACGCGCTGTACCCTTTGCAAAAACAAGTCAACGCTCACCTGAATTGCATTTTTGGGGCTTTGATGCCAATGACTGAAATGAAAGCTCGACTGTAACCATAAGTAAATGTTGTGAGCCACGTGCTAAGCTCGCAATTGTTTCTTTTCTCGCGTTTGACAATCTCTTACTTATGAGGTCACCCTTTAGATACATGTGAAACACTGCGCTCTTCTGTCCACTTGTAATCTGACTTTATACACTGACGAAGTGTATTTCTCCAACACACACTGAAACGTTTTGAATATTTAGGAAGGGCCGAAAAGCATAGAATTTTAGTCGAAATAGCATCGAATATACGTCGTATCATCTTTAATACCTATATCAGGTCGTGTTCACTTTTCTGTATTGAGGGTTTAAGTTTTTCTAATTTAGACGATTTAATTTTGCTTTTCATAATAAAAACCAAGTAGTTAATGTTCGTTTAATTGCACTGGAGGCAGGTATTTACAGCTCTAATTCACGGTTTCCTGTACATTGCAAGTAGGGAAATATCGCAGCCTCATAACAGTATAGATGTATAATTAATACATTTTTTAAATGTTCACTTTAACTTTAAAATGTTTACTTGTAACAACATATAAATATTAACCTAGTTCAAGACGTCCAACTTCCAATTGGTAAGAGTGCTGATTCCTTTGGAAATTTGATAGATATATTCGCATTTTACTCAACTTCTTGGCAGCGGAAGTCTGTCGCGGAATTCATACAAAGCTATGAAGTCACGCAATGACGTAACCTAATATTAGTTTAAAGAACCTTGCAGTTCTACTTTCATGTCAGTGTGCCCTGACCAATACACGTAATTTGGAATAAAATTACCGTCCGGTGCACCAATTCAGAATGGCGATATACTACTCCCAAAACACCACAGTTCCAGTAGCGCAGTGATCACAGAACTACACCACCGCGTTACATCCATTGTCTCATTTTGTGGACACAGGGCATCTGTACTCCCCAGGGATTTGAGAATGCAATTTGACTCAACACCATTAACCGAGGTCATAACATATCGCCATCAGCATGTTTGATGGTTTGTAAACGGTATGGTATAACCGTAAAATGTTATGCAACGATCCAACCACACACATCAGTTTAATTCTGGTATACTACTGTGTGTTCCCTTATTTTATTTCTTCAGTATACATGCAAAACGAACATCGGTGATGGAACTTCTGAGTCGGATTCTCAGAACTGTGAGTCTGGCCTCAAGCCACGGGCACTGTAAACAGTTTTTCACGGTGTGTGAGATCCGCAGTATTCCAGTAGTCAGTGGCATGTCGGCTTCTTGTGGGAGGAAGTTGGCGAGTGAGTGAGTTTAGTTTTACGCCGCCTTTAGCAATATTCTAGCAATACCACGTTAGAAATGGGCTTCACACATTGTACCCATGTGAGGAATCGTACCCTGGTGTAAGCGTGACGAGCCAACGCTTTAACCACAAGGCTACCCGATGGCCCCCGAGGAAATAGTGACGCAGTCCTTAGACGTTTACTCTGTTATATATTGAAACACAAAAGATGGTGCTGTCAAACCTAGAACCGGGATTCGAACAGACGATCATAAGTTTTACAAACTGCAACATGCAGCCTGACCTTGTTCCATGCAGACTGTTAGAGAGTAGCAATTGTTCTTGTGCTGTACTGACTTCAACCTGCTGTATTTAACATTGTGTGTTTTACTGACAGTGGTTTTCCGTTTTGGATAAACAAGAGGGTTCAACTAATACGAAATATCTACAGACAATTGCGTGATTGGGTGAGCTTCAGTAGTATTTCAATTAAAACCCACGTGCACGTGTATGGTACTGACAAACCTAAAAACACAATCAGGGCGAATGTGAGACTCGAACCTTGATGTTCAGTTTTGGCGAATCTAAGAGCAGCGCCCCAGACAAGTGTGCTTTCATTACTGGGTATGAACTAATGAGCAGGAGATGAACTTGGATTGCATGTCTTAGACGTTGAAAGCTTGTACAAAACAAGTGCGAAACAGGAATACGAACCCTGGACCCTGGTGCACACAAGGGGCGTAACTCTGCGCAGGATATTGCTTAGGTATTAAAAGAATGGGTGATAGATAGTAGAATTCCATTTAAATATCGGCATCCTAACATTGGCGAGAGCGTAAACATAGTATGATATGGGCACGAATATAATATTCTGTTTATTACCGAAGTCGTCAAATTGAGGAAAATAAACCCAAATCTACTTTCAAACATAGGCTGGCTACCCGCCGTCGCCGCATGTAGAGCGCAACGTCACAGAAGAAACGTGACGTCATAAGATTGTTCACGACGTCACGTCACCATGACAAAGTGATATTTTGCCCTAGGGCATCGTATGAAAAATATGAACCCCGATATTTTCGCCCTCGTAGGTAATAAACAATTGTATGGTACATTGGTGATAACGTGGATGAAGAAGTGAGTGAGTAATTGAGTGAGTGAGCATGATTTGTGCCAATTGTAACAATGTTCTCTTTATGTCAAAGCGGAGACCGCCAAAAATGGTCTTCAAAAATTACCAAAGAATTCATCCGTGGTCCCCGACGGGATAAGTGAACGCTTTATTAGAACACCCCACCGCCTCACCGAAAGACACCGAGTTCTAACTGTTTTACGATATGATATTTATGGTAAAGCACTTCACAGTTGTACTTTACAACACATGACAAATACCATATAAGACTGATATCATATCTCCACACTTTCTGCCCTAAAGAATTGACAAGTTTGTCGTGTACGCTACACCATGTCAAAATGACAACTGAAGTGCTCATTCACAGGACGAGTGACACGTTTGTAACAGACCTGAAGTACATTAATCGCTTACGACTCCACTGACTGCTGTTTGTAGATTGAATAAATATGCTGCAGTAACTATTCCATAATGGCATATTTAAATATTTAGTGAATGCCGGACACAGGGCAAGCCTTCCTTTTAAGCTGAATTAAACTGCAATACTGAAAGATGACAAATTTTTAATGGCACATAAATGACAATACATGTACTGTGAGAACCTACTCTATGTTGGACGACAGATCACCACAGCTAGCAGCTATATACACTATAAGAGCTAGCTCCACGCCGAGCTGCTGCTGTTGGTATGTACATCTCTACACGCCAACACTCCGTACCAGGCCATCCCAACCGGTTTGCCTTCAGAGATCCGGTTTTGTCCGGAGATCGGACAACTTCCGGCATCTTCAGAGTAGAGGTCAAGGTCACACCTTCAAATCTGCGCCAAATCATGGAGTCTCTGTTTGGCTTTTTTCCGTGACCGATGGCCATATATTACTCTGTTATTTTCATGACGTCACAAATGACGTCATCGCAGTTTCAATAGTCCACAAAATGTTGCCATTAAAACAACATTCCGGCTGTAAGTGGCGGATTTTTATCCAATGAGGTAGCGGGGTTGTAGTCTGAGCCAGAGTTGCTTAATACGCTGGAGTAGGGTCCATGAAGCGATGGGGGTGTCTGGTGTCCCGGAGTTGCCTTGCTTGGGGCTGGAGGTGGACTCGACCATTTTGTGCTGTCAGACTGGACCTTTCCTGGGAGGGGAGCGAAAAGGAGGTTAGTCAGGTGCCACGTGCATATCACTGATGTCATAAATGTCATCAACAACTTTGACATTTGACATTTTCTACACATTTGTCTTTGGCTACGACAACGGAAATTAATTTATGGCTTTTGGTGCCAATCAAAAGCCACCTCTTGAGATTGTAGAATATTTGAAATATTGTGACAGACACTTTCAACTTATCAAGCAGATGTCCCAGCACCCCCAAGTGTTATAACAAATGTCACTTCGGTAGACAGTCTATCTCACTTGTCTAATATTGCATGACGTGTTTCCAAACGTTTCAAATCAGAAGGAACCCGCCCACATGTGCAGGGAAGACATTCTGAAGGTTGTGTGTCGCCGATGTCTTTTTATGTGTCTGTCCGTTACAGAATACGGCAGGGGATGTTGTTTAACGCCGTTGTCAGTATTCCAGAAACATTCCAGAGGAATGGAGAACAGCGTGTTGACCAACCATTGGGGTACAATGAAATATAATCGGCAAAGGCATAGGCAGGTTAGCCTGTCCTCATTATAGTCGTCCAAACAAGCATACGGGACAAGGGACCTATTTTTCCCGGTCTTCCAAAAACATTTTCTTTTGAGATCGCCCTGAGCATATTTAAGTCTTCATGTCCACCCGATACAATGTTGTGAAGATATTGAAACCAAAAACCCAGACCCGAAATCAATCTAGAAGTGTTTGTTTGTTTGACACCGGACTCAGCACTATTCCAGCTAAATGACGGCGGTTTGAACATAATGGACTGGGATGTTATGATCATCGATCAACGGATACGATGACATCAATCAATTAAGTCAGCAAGCCTAAGCACCAGACCCCGTATATCTCCTCTTAAGACAAGACTGGATTACTGAGGACCAATGCCAACCCGGATCTTCGTTTGGGGTCATAGTTGCGTGGCTGCATGAGATATGTTGAGGATTACTATCAGCCGAATTGAAGTAATTTGTGAGTGGACTAAAGTGGACCTCACGTCAAGAATGAACGTCAATTGTAAACATTTGGACGGGGATTGAATCCAGGTCATCGGCGACAGACCGGATTATCCATTACTATAAAGCATATGCAGAAGGGGCCCAGTTGTACCTGATTGGTTCGTTGGTTCTTCCATTGACTTGGGTTTGTCTTTATTGATGTTGTTATTGTTGTTGTTATTGTTATTGTTGTTATTTGAGTTGTTGCTGTTGTTGGCGTCTTTATTACTGGAGTTGCTGTTCTGCTGTTGTGACGTCTGCTGTTGTTGCTTCATTCGCTCCATCTTCCGGAACTTCGCACGCCTGTTCTGGAACCACACCTGCGAACAAACAAGAAAACGTCATCATCAACGTCCGAGTATCAAACAACGTGTATCTACGCAGCGATTTGTAGTGTTTGTTTGTTTGTTTGTTGTTTAACGTTACACTCAGCAATTTTCCAGCTATATGACGGCGGTCCGTGAATAATCTAGATAAATTCCGTAAATAACTTGACATCATCAACCAGGCCAACTAGCCTAACCACCCGATACCGTTAGACGCCAATTATGACAAGCATGGGCCACACACAGCCACCATTTAGCAGGAATATTGCTGAGTGTGGCGTTAAGCAACAAATAAAGAGACAAACCTTCACTTCATACTCTCTGCATACTCGATATCAGTACATCCACAAGGCACCTTGCCTCTCTTTAAATGTTTTCTCACCCCACACTCTCTCCCCACCTCTGGCTTCAGTAAAGTACCCAGCCTCTGAACACACGTGTCCTCACCCCCACAATACCATCAGTGTACCCAGAAGGCACCCTGCCTCTGTGTAAATGTAGCCTGGGCCTATGGCCTCCACTACAAAAGAAAGAAATATTGACACATGACCTCAGTAAACCCATAAGGCACGCTGCCTCTGTGTACACGTGTCCTCGCCCCACCCATTCTCTACTGACACTCCCTACCCACCTGAACCCTGGCTTCCGTAAGGTCTGTCTTCATGGCGATCTCCTCACGGGTGTAGATATCCGGATAGTGAGTCTCGGCGAACGCCTTCTCCAGTTCCTTGAGTTGTGCAGAGGTGAAGGTCGTCCTGATACGACGCTGTTTCCGTTTCTCGGGGTTCACGGAACTCTCGTGCGCATGCTGGTACATCTTGTAGGGCAGACCTGCAGAGCAAACATCGAACGTCTGAATACATTCAAGACCATATTTACACATGGTCGTTGTAGAAAACGTAACAATCGACGTTAACCAGCCTTGAAAACTAGGCTGTCATACCGACCACCTAACATCGTTGTGATATAGCATACTAATATGTCAGCGATAACGGTTTTGAAAATCATATATGACTGGTCCTATGTGTTCTTAAATTATGACAAATTGTTTCACAACATTAGGTATCCACCGTATTGGAACCACAGTGGGGGCGTTCTGCACAAGTTAACAAACCAGCTTGAAGGTCCCTGACGATTAAACTCATCGTTTTAAAGGGGTATTTCGAACTCACATAATGCTTCCAGTGCTGAAATACTTGGTTTGTTTTCACAAGCTTTAACTCTCTAAGGTGTAGTTTATCTCACTGATCCATGGTATGGAAGCTAACACAGGAACAGCTCCCTTGTGTTCATCGTATACAGATAGTGCTTTGTGAACTCAACGTGAAATAAGGAAAACCAAACAGTTCTAACAATCTATTGCTCAGCTGACGCAACAAATAGATCAGTAATGTTGTGTTACAGGGATGCAGGCAAACAATAACGGTTGACGTGAATAGAGCATGCAACTGCGTTGGTTGCTAGGAAACAACCCGTTGATCCAGACAGAGAAAGAGTACATATATGAGATGAGGAGATGACAACATATAAAGGGTGAAAGTTCTCCAACAGATTGGTAAAGAGCACATCCGAAGTGGCGACAACTGGGACGGGTCAAGACGGGGAGAGGATAACAGGGGCAGAGAGGGGAGATGAACGATGTTATTCACCTCGGATATGTCCTGCGCGTGCCTGCTCACCCTGGCCAAAAATTCCTGAAAGTACAAGGTCAAAGGTCAGCGACCAACGGCATAAGACATGTGACTAAAACAACATTGGTAATTTTGAGTGTGGGTGAAAACGCGTGCAACCATTATTTTTGAGCATTTCAATACGGAACGACACTGTTTTTTAGAATCGGTATTTCGGTTTTTAGCAGGAGAAATTGGGCTGTTGTCTTCTCGTGCGAAAACAGACCACTCGCTTAGACCTGTCGCCCGTGCTGAAAGATGCAAGTGATATCTCCGCTTTCGTATGTTGCTGTTTGTACGTATTGTTTAGCCACGTACAGCAATATTCTACCAATAATGGATGGCAAGCGCTTAATAGTCAGAGCCAGAGTGAGTGAGTGGGTTTTACGCCGCTTTTAGCAATATTCCAGCAACATCACGGCGGGGGACACCAGAAATGAGCTTCAGACATTGTACCCACGTGGGGAATCGAACCCGGGTCTTTGGCGTGACGAGCGAATGCTTTAGCCACTAGGCTACCCCACCGCCCCAGCTAGAGCCAGACTAACTAGTGGTTGATATTATAAGCAGCGATCCATGTCGTTAGGGCGCGATGATCCTTATCAACCGAGAGTGCCCATCCGATCCAATTTAGTCGCCACTTGCGGACCATTAGCAAGCACTGCAGTGTTGATGTGATACGTAAAGAACAGGGTCTTATGTTACGACAAGACCCCCTGAGTGTAGGGACAATAACGGTTGAGGAAACCAAGACATTGTCCCATTACAATGATAAAACTTCAATGTATATTTCCCCAGCAGTGGCAAACTATTTTACCATTGAGCGCAATCAAACAATATATCAAGTTTCACCATTTACTCAATAACTTGGACGTCTAGGTTGTAACGATTATGTTATTTATGTTTTGATTTCAAGAAAATACAGTTATTTAAAGCCAAACTTAAACATGCAAACACATAATTCACCACTTTAACATTTTTAACTATATTATTATACACATTTTGCAACTGTATTTCTTAACAAAGTCGATTTTATATCTCTCACACTTTGTTAAATTATTTAAAAAGTCCTCCCTCCCAATGTAAACATAAAAATCAAAAGGATGCTCCGTGACCAAAGAAGAAAATGGATACATGTTGGTGTCTACAATATTTTTAATTACAAAAAAATAGAAATCATAGCAAGCAAATCTTTATCATTTTAGATGAAAGATAACAAAACACGTTAAAATTGAAAACAAAAATTCAGTAATGAATGACAAACATAAATAGTATGGGTGTAGGTACTGTACAACGTAGCACTATTAACGCCATGTGCACGCCGTCCTCAAAACCAAAATAGTATTGGGTAGGACTGTTAAAATGTTGTTTAGACAATAAAGGTAGTGGTAAGATTGAATTGTGGATCTGCCCACTGAGATGTTTAACAGGTAAGGGTGAGTCGGGCCAGGGCCAGATCCTTGAACAGGCGGGGTGAGCAGTCGCACAGCAATACCTGGCAAATTCGACGGGACAGAAATTGCTTAAGAAAAAGCGAAGTGTATAAAGGATAGAATTGAGGATGGCTCGGGGGGATGTTGGTTAGGGATGGGGAGAACATTACTCAGATCGAGATGTAGATCGAGATGGCTGAGGTTGGGTATTACTTGGTTCATAGTGAGCAGTTGAAAGACTAAGGTTTGATATTACTCAGATCGAGATGTAGGTCGAGATGGCTGAGGTTGGGTATTGCTTGGTTCATAGTGAGCAGTTGAAAGACTAAGGTTTGATATTACTCAGATCGAGATGTAGGTCGAGATGGCTGAGGTTGGGTATTGCATTGGTTCATACTAAGTGATATTACAGTTGAAATGACTAGGTTGGGTATTACTTGGTTCATAGTGAGCAGTTGAAAGACTGATATTACTCAGATCGAGATGTAGATCGAGATGGCTGAGGTTGGGTATTGCTTGGTTCATAGTGAGCAGTTGAAAGACTAAGGTTTGATATTACTCAGATCGAGATGTAGATCGAGATGACTGAGGTTGGGTATTACTTGGTTCATAGTGAGCAGTTGAAAGACTAAGGTTTGATATTACTCAGATCGAGATGTAGATCGAGATGGCTGAGGTTGGGTATTGCTTGGTTCATAGTGAGCAGTTGAAAGACTAAGGTTTGATATTACTCAGATCGAGATGTAGATCGAGATGGCTGAGGTTGGGTATTACTTGGTTCATAGTGAGCAGTTGAAAGACTAAGGTTTGATATTACTCAGATCGAGATGTGAGTCGAGATGGCTGAGGTTGGGTATTGCTTGGTTCATAGTGAGCAGTTGAAAGACTAAGGTTTGATATTACTCAGATCGAGATGTAGATCGAGATGGCTGAGGTTGGGTATTGCTTGGTTCATAGTGAGCAGTTGAAAGACTAAGGTTTGATATTACTCAGATCCAGATGTAGATCGAGATGGCTGAGGTTGGGTATTGCTTGGTTCATAGTGAGCAGTTGAAAGACTAAGGTTTGATATTACTCAGATCGAGATGTAGATCGAGATGACTGAGGTTGGGTATTACTTGGTTCATAGTGAGCAGTTGAAAGACTAAGGTTTGATATTACTCAGATCGTGATGTAGATCGACATGGCACAGGTTGGGCATTACTTGGTTCGTAGTGAGCAGTTGAAAGACTAAGGTTTGATATTACTCAGATCGAGATGTAGATCGAGATGGCTGAGGTTAGGCATTACTTGGTTCATAGTGAGCAGTTGAAAGACTAAGGTTTGATATTACTCAGATCGAGATGTAGATCGAGATGGCACAGGTTGGGTATTACTTGGTTCATAGTGAGCAGTTGAAAGAACATTATATTGATCGAGATGTAGATCGAGATGGCACAGGTTGGGTGGTATTGCTTGGTTCATAGTGAGCAGTTGAAAGACTAAGGTTGGATATTACTCCGATCGAGATGTAGGTCGAGATGGCTGAGGTTGGGTATTACTTGGTTCATAGTGAGCAGTTGAAAGACTAAGGTTGGATATTACTCAGATCGAGATGTAGATCGACATGGCACAGGTTGGGCATTACTTGGTTCATAGTGAGCAGTTGAAAGACTAAGGTTGGATATTACTCCGATCGAGATGTAGGTCGAGATGGCTGAGGTTGGGTATTGCTTGGTTCATAGTGAGCAGTTGAAAGACTAAGGTTGGATATTACTCAGATGTAGACGTGGATCGAGATGGCTGAGGTTGGTTATTACTTTGATCAAAGTGGGCGACAGGGATGACTAGGTTCGAAGATGGATGAGGCTTTTGTTAAAACATAAACCACGAGACGAGTAGTGACCAATGCCAGGATTTAGGCAGGTCAAAGAAACTCAAAAACAGACTAAAAAACCACGTGCAAGTGACTTTTGTCATTGCACTTGAAATATTTCTGACGTCGCTAAAACTGATACAGAATATTTTCGACAAAAATTGTCACATCAAAGACTAAAATGAAGTAAGTCGAAGAAGGCTGTCACAAGAAATGCCATAACAAAGTAAGCAAGCAATGAACACAGACTGGGATATTAATCACAGCTCATATGCCAATATAATGGGATACACCAACAACACAACTGACAGGTTCCAGCAAGATTAAAGCAAATCATAGCGACCACTTGTATTGCCAAGTGGACCCGAATAACCCATGTAAATACGCGTACGTGTGCACTTTAAATAAATGGATTTAAGCTCCAGGGGATGAATATTCATGATTGAACTGGCTAGCACCATTATTTTGCCTTAAAATGCGCCCTGCTATCCGCAAGATGGAGCTAAACAAGCACGGAATCTGCACTGCAAAAGACAATCTAGGAACCAGGCAAGAAGAGAGTGTCCATGTTCGACATTTCGCATATTTTGAGTCTGAACTTGTTCCGTAAATATTCATTATGTTGTTGGAAATAGAAGCAAAAAGGCGAAAGGCAATCTGCAGGTAATCTTTTGGAACCAAACATTTTGGAATAAGGACACGTAAAGATATTTAGGCTATAAGTAGGCGTAATTGGGCTAAAAATATTGGGTATTTTTTGTTGGTATTAACATTTGGTACGATTTTTTGGCATCACATGGCGAATATGCAGCAAGGTGAAAAAATCTGTTCGCATATTGAAAAAAGCTATAACAGTAACAGATTCACAATCGGCCATTTCACAGAGCCCGCTTCTCAATCACAGAAAGAAGAGGGCATGGAAAACACACTGGCAGAAAATAAGGTTTATCTCTACAAATCTATTTGTGTACTTGTCAGTAGCATCTACAAGCGCGAAGCAGATCCTGTTGGCGAGAAAACCCAATGATATTATGGATACATGTTCTTTAACGTCAATTCTAATACCAACTATATGACAAAATTTTGCTTTCATTTTTGCTATCCTGACTGTTGGCTAATTGAGCAGACTTTGTTGTCGTCAGTCCCTGCTTACATCTCGTAACTAGCGCATGTTTACTTTCGGTCTCTGTCACGTTCGATTAGGGTCAGCTTGAGGGATGGTAGTCTTCGCCGCAAGCAGAGGCAGGCCATTATTCCACAGAGACTCCAGAAGAACGGCCTCCTCGGTGGCTATCACTCACAACCGAATCGATAATGTTCGCCAATCCGGGTTATTTATTTATCGTGCGTTTATCAAATCAATTCCCTCTACAGAGTCTGTTTCTCTTTATTTGTGGGATCAAAATTGGAGAAATGGAATGATTTGTCGACCCCGGCAAAATTAGATAAGCTGAATCGGGCATCTGGTCTTCTTCATCGCAATGCTGATACGTCTAGAAGCAAGTCCCTCTGCTGGTCCGGTGCTGCGCACTGATCGTATCTTGGCTGATTTCGTTACGACATGCACACCCTTCGTAATTACGCTCCTCACAGTTATCGCTTGACCAACTATCCGGAACCGTTGCGTGAGCATTTCTGTCCTGGACTTGCCATTTAACGTTCACTATCGAGATCAGAGCATTACAATGACTGTCGGAGATAGTAATTAGTGACAGTTAGATAGAAACTGCTGGTCT